TCGGTATAGTAAGGGTTTTTTTATATTTAAAAATCTGTCTGACACTGAAAATCCATTGTATTGTAAAATTCGTTATATCAAAATTCGTTGTAGAAAAAGTTGATTGTAAGCATAATTTTGTTTTAACGGTTATAAAAGTTAACAAAGAACATCCTGAACAACTAGGATATCTTTGTAATTGTGAATCTTTTTTTACTTCTGAGCCAAGTAAATCTAGTACAAACGCAATATCTACAATTTACCAACAGATGTTTTATATCAAAACCAGATTCTCAGGCCCTGTGATAATAGGATTTGACAAGCCAACTGTTTGTGAAAAACTTTTAAAAGGAGTTTCATTTCATCCATATTTTATTAATTTTGAATTAATACGCATTTTTGTATTTGGAATTGCAAAATCTGAAAATAATCAATGAAGATATGCTAGTGTTGGGTATAAGTTAAGTTTTTTCTTTCAACATGCAAAGAAACATTATTTATTTCTTCAAGAATTTGAAAAAGATGTTTGTAAGGTAACTATAATATATAGGTTAAAAAGGGGTTCTAGGACAAATCACCAAATCACTTTCGAATCAATTCTAGCTATATAAATCAATTATTAAATTCAATCCTCTAGCGCATTTTGACTCAATTCTAGATGATGATATCGATCTTATTTAAGAATTAGCTTTCAGATATCAAGAATTATACTGTTTGATCTAACCATTTTAGCCTGATTTTAATCCCAAATAATATATCAAAAATTTTTTACTATTCTATTTGCTTCAGGAGGGGCCATTGAAAATCAAGAAACAAAGTGACGTGATTTGAGCTGGGCCTGACATTGCAAACCTAATATGAATAATAACTTTTATGCTATTCTGCTTGCCTCTAGAGAGCCATCAAAAATCAAGGAACAAAGTGATGTGATTTGAGCTGAGCCTGATCATGCAAGCTTAAAATGTATATCATATTCTAAGTCTCACTTTTAAATCAAACCTCTAAGTCACACTTTTTATCAAGTCTCACCTCTAAGTGCAGAAAAAATCAGAATGAAAAGCTGAAAGAAGTTTAAAGTGCATACCTCTAAGTCACACCTTTTATCAAGTCTCACCTTTAAGTGAGGAAAAAATTAGAATAAAAACTGAAAGAAGCCTAAAATGCTAACCACATTCTAAGTCACACCTTTTATCAAGTTTAATCTCTGAGTCTTATCCTACGATTTATTATAATATTGCATTACATAATATTTTCTAATATATTTAGCACACTATCAACAAGCTGTAGCAGTAAGTTTGCCACAATCAGTACAAGGATAGCGCTTTCTAGTCTTCCAATGTTGCCAATATCTTTCAAATCGAGTACAGGCTTTACTACCAGAATTATGAAGATAGTTACAAGTATAAAATGCCTTCATTTACAATAAGGATGAAAAAATTTAATTAAATAAAATTATCTGCAATATAGAAAAGTGAATGGCAGATATACCTAAAGAGGTAATTATTTTTATTTAAACAAAAGTTTACATAATATTAAACAGGTGAGATTTGTTAATATTATGCCTATAAGTGATAAAAAAAATTCTACTTGTAGGGATAACAATTATAAATTTACAAGACCTGCTAAACTTTGTCAACATTATAAAATCATTGTGAACCAGATTCTAAATTATTATTTAAGAGATACAAGCTTTAACTCCTAAGACTTCTAGTCAAAAGGAAATTACTTCTTTGTCTATAGAGGATTTGGCTAACTGGTTAACGAAACACGAGATAAAAAATAACCCAACTATTACAAACAAAAAGCTTTCTAAAACAGATACCGAATGGCTTAATTTGATGGAAAAATCCTCTAGTAAAAAACAAAAGAAAACCAATGTTTTCCAACCATAAGAGGATCCTGAAACCAGTCCTGATTCAATAACTCAGACTTATAGAGAAGAAACCCCAATTCCTGAAGCTTTTAATCAAGTAGAAGATATTCACTTTGAAGAATGTTCAGTTGAAAGGGATCTAGAAAGACCACATAAAAATCAATCTTTAATGAGCAAATGGGTAGGCAAAGTTCCCCATTCCAATAACAATCCTAAATATGCTTTTATTCAACCAATAGCTAATCTTATACAAAATAACTTATGGGATAATTCATATAAAAATAACAGAAGTTCTTCAAACAGAGTTTCGTAGAAAAAACCAAATAAAATCAGCTATAGTAGCATTGTGTTTGTATTCAATTACTAAAGAGATCGAGATAGCACAAGTCATATATCATTTGTATACAATCATGAAAGAGGGAAGATGCAATATTTGCTTTTAACAAATAATATAGATGAGCATATAGCTAAATCAGTTGGAGAAATAGATAAGCAAATTGAGCATACATTAAAAAAAGGATCAGGATATGTTTTTAAGCGAATTTTTGAAATATCTATTGAGGTATATAAATGCCATTGAGCTACAGAAGGATCTTATATTCCTACTCCAAAGAAGCTAGCCAATAGAAAGTGTACTATCAATCCTAATAATTATGTTCTTATAGATCCAGAAACAAATAGACCTTCTGAAAAGTGTCTTCAAGGTGCATTAGGTTGCTATTTTGCAGATTAGGATGAGCATACAGATTATCTTGAAAGAATCTTTCATGTTACTAAATATAAACCATATTTAGATTAGATGGAATCCCAATGCCCACTCCCATCTTTTCACGTATATTTAATAAGATTGAGAAGATGAATTCAGATATCTCTATCAGTGTCTGGGAAGTGAAAGAAGAAATAGCTACACCAAAACTGTGATAGCTAGTAAACATTTTAAAAGGCAACATAAAATTCGTCTATTGGTCCTTACAGATATTACTAAAGATAATGAGATAGATAAGTATAGTCAAAAGAACCATTTTCTCTGGATTAAAATCCTAGCAGATTAATATATGGTGATAATGCGTATAAAGAAAAGAAATATTTATGTGATAGATGCACTATAAGC